GAATCCATATATATATATATATATATATATATATATATATATAAAAACAAATAATATTGATTTTCTCATTTTGCAGGGAACTTCACCCAAGGTTAAGGTTACCTAAAGGGCTTGAGGAGCTAAGGTGAGTGATGAAATCCTATAAATTGTGTGCAAATCTGTGTGTATACACATGTATTTTCTCTATGGAGGGAGGGGTCTCAAGCAGTCATCAGATTATCAAAGTACGTCATGATGTAACAGAGGTTACAAAGCACTAAGAGTTATTCCACGCTTGGGTCCAGCCACAGGCTTGGATGAACAGTCGTTCAGTTTTTCCGCAAACCAGTACAGCTCACCACATGGGGAACCGAACCACCCACAAACATGTTTGTCCCAACACAAGAGTATCACATCCTGATCATTACTAAGGGCAAAATTAAGGTGAGCAATGGGCTGGCATTCTGTCCCCACCCAACGTCATAATAAAGGAGTTTGGGGACTTGCTCTTTCTCCCTTCCTCCTTCACCAAAAGGATGGGCAGAGCCTACTGTGCCCAGGCGTTTTTTCTGTCTAGCAGCACGGATCTTTCAGAAGACTGACCCGGGGAGGCAAAATGTCGCCATCGATCCCAGCAAAGTTAAAAGGGAGTCACGCCACCAACGGCCACAGCCTCTTTTTTTGAACAGCTGACAGGAGCAAAGAGACCTTAAAACAGCTTTCCTACTAAAAAAAGTTCCTGAGATGGTTTCTCATAGAACCACCAACTTTTCTCTATTCCAAGGGACAAAAATAGAGTCAGCTGAGTTTCCCACGAAATTTCACCCTTAGAAAGCGGGGCTTCAGAAATAGACAAGAAAAAGAAACTGTCAAATGAAAAGCTGCTTGCAAATCACTGCCCAGGCCCGACCCGACCCAGTCCAGGCATCCGCGAAGTCTACGTGCTTCTCGGGTTAAACGGGGTGAGAAAGCGAGGCTGGAGATCCCCCCATCGCGCTCACCCGAAGGCGTTCGGAGGCAAAGGCAGGGTGGGTGCGAGTCTGATCTGCAAAGGGCCGGAGGAAGGCCCCGCACCTCACTAAGGCGCCGCCCGCAGCACAGCCCCGCCCGCCCGAGCGGCGCTCCTCACCTCCACCGGGAAGCGCCTGCCGTTGACGCTGTGCTCCGAGCCCGCCGAGCCGTTGCTGTGGCCCCAGTGAAACTCCACCTTCTCGGCCTTGAATCTGCCCGGCAGGCCGGCGCCGCTGACGAAATAGTCGTCTTTGAGAAGGATGGCAACTGTGTAAAACGCAAGGGGAGAGGAACAAAGTGAGTTTCAACACCAAACCCCAAAGGTTTCTTCTGATGCGTCCAATAAAGTTGGTCATTGCGCTTCCTCGCGTGCCTGCTGAAGAGCCAAAAACCAGCAGCCTAAATAAATTAGCCCGTTCCAGCTGCAGAGCGCTCTCAGCACCAGCTGGCTCGAGATCGTGAAAATAACCAGGGGATGGTCTCAGAATTTATCCATTTAACGGGTGAAGAAAATGAGGCAATGACAGAGTCAGTTGCTCGGAATCGGGTCTCGTAACACTGCCTGGTGATCACATTATCTGGAGAGTGAGGTTCCTGGGACTACCCACCCCAAGACTCAAGGTCTGGAATGAGATGGAAATATATATAAGCCAGAGGTAAGAGGCACGTTTCTTTAATCAGAAAATAAAATGTGCAGGTTCTTCCAATGATTGCGGCAACCACACTGAAAAGGCAGCTGGGATTGGGGACTGTATTCACTGCATTTGATAAAGGTGCTCAGGAAAGTGCAAACTACGAATTAAGTCACTCAAATCACTGCAGATTAGATTTACTTCACTGTTTCCATTAATTTCAAGGATAAGAAAATTCCCTTTGCCCATCCAGAAAAACACATATGAATGTCCATGTCCACAGGGAGCCTCAATCAACTCACACCTGAGAAACTCTTCCTTGAAACATGGGAAAGACAGATCGAGACGAAATAACGTGGACTTACACTAACAAAACATTTTTTCCAAAAGGAATGTAATATCCAAATGCATAAAAAACAGATTTTATTTTATAAGTGATACATCTCCCCCTTTCTTGATTTCTAAGGTGAATTGATTCATTCACTCCAATGCTGCTAAATAAATGTAAGATGCCAACCAATACCTAATGGTCTATGCGCTAAAGCCAAGCCTGCTGAAGCCAAGGAGGCTCTCACACCCTCAGTGTTTCGTCTTCCTCAAGAAGTCGCAGTTCAAGCTTCGGAGACAAAGCCTGCATGAGAAGTCGGTCTTCGTGAAAGACAGGAACTGGACCAATAGCCTATTTCTAAAACAGTGCAATTATTTTCAACACTTCTCTGCATAAAGGAAGCATTAAAAGCAGGTGAAAGAATCCTGCTCATATAAATAATCCCTTTTCACTAAATTCAAAAGGCAGTTTCTCTCCAACTTCTGAAAACTATACAATGAATGCTCCATTAGTGGGATTGCAAACTGAATAATAAAATGAGGTAGAACAAGTGCTCCTTACACTGATTACACGCACGCCAGCACTGTCCCACCTTCACCGTGTGCCAGGCCAGGTGCTACGCGCGTTTTAGGCCAAGGGTGCAAAGCTGTTCCTGGAAAGGGTGAGAGGGTAAATATTTAAGGCTTTGTGGGCTCTATGGTTCATGTTGCAACTACTCGACCTCATCTTAGTAGCAGAGACATAGCCAAACATACTACGGAAGTGAATGGGTCAGACTATGTTGAATAAAACCTTATTTATCCACACTGAAATTTGGGTATAATTTCCACATGTCATGGAATACTGTTCTCCTTCCGACTATTTTTCAGCCACGAAAACATGTAAAAAAAGGGGGGGGGGTGTCATTCGGTGATCTCTAAAATATAATACGATCTTTTAGAAGATAAACTATTATAATAAACCAATTATATACATTTAGTTTCAAACCTGAGTACATAGGAATAAGCCCAGTAGTGTCTTAAGTACCATTGATTACTCTCAGTCTGTTATAAACGTTAGAGACAATATTTTACATCCAGAAGACGAAGGCAAAGAATTTTGAGAGCATCTGTTATAGTACACCCAGGGACATCGCAGCATCTTATTAATATTTGATTTTACCTAAATCATTTATGTCTCTGTCAGGGGTCATTTTACTTGTTTTATATGAATAATTAAAAGCATAATTAGGAAACTGTACAATCTGAAACATTAATCTCATTTTTCACTTTACAATATTTCTCACTGGCGCACACAGCATGCTACACGCATGCACTGCCCTCCCGAAAGAGGCTTATATTTTTGTTCACATATAAAACTGGGAACAGAACTTTCCCAGCGATCATGGAACAATTCTCTGATGACCACTGATGACACAACCGTTTCGAAACAAAATGCGCCAAAGGCAGTGACTTCAGAACACAGATGTGTTACCACCATGAGCTCATGAGATGGGCAAACCTGGGCGGGAATCCAATCCTGTCGTGTAACGCTGGTGTGACCCCGGCAAGTCACCCCACTTCTCGGTGCCTCAGCTTCCACTGCTCTCAAAGAGCAGCTACCTGGCAATCACACGTGTAGGAAATCACACCTGATGGAAACCACGCCCGAGGGAAACCCCACGCGGGAAGCATTAACGCAGCGGCAGAAGCTCAGCATGTACACACCCGATGGCGGTTCCCGTCAAGCTCATTTCTAGAGACAGGGACAGAGCTGGAGCGCAGCAGAGACGTGCGGCCACACAGGTGTAATCTTCATTCTGAGAGAACTGAATGTTAAAGCAAAACTGCTTTTCCCACAAAATAAAAAAAGTACTGGGCAGGGACAAAGCAGGGTGGGTGTGGCCCAAACACTGGGAGGAGACCTGAGTGCTGAGTAGATGTTTAGAGATCAGTAAAACCCATAGAAAAATGATTTTCCTTTTCTTGCTGATTTCTATCCTCTAGTCACATCCAGGAAAATAAAACCCAAATTTGGTTCTAATATGCCCTTCTCGTTAGCCTGACACTCATTCATCCACCCTTCACCCAAGAGCATTCTGCTAGAATTCAATAACTTTGGTAAATACGGTTTAATTTCATAGATTATAGACCTATTTTTTTACATAAGTCTATCCATGTCATATAGCACAGGTTTTCCCATTATGGTGTTGATAAAAATTTTTCCCTTAAAACCAATTGGTTTATTTAAAATAAAGTGAGTCAATTGAAAGAAACATTGAAATTTTAAAACAGTAGCAGTTAAGAGTTGAATTTGGATAAGGTGACAGTTGGGAAGGTGACAAGCAACAGCTCCAGACTGAAGAACAACAGGACAGGAGGGAGGAAGGAAAGGTAGCCAGGAGTGAACTTTCTAGAACTAGGCCCTCCAGCTGTTAAACTGCCAACAGGGATTGTGATGAAATCAAAGCACATGAGGGAGGGAGTGGAAAGAGCTGGGGCCTCAGATTCAAGGCTCTTTAACCAAGAGACCAGAGTCCATATCAGTAGCCACCCATGAAGCCGGTTCTGCACCCTCCGAATACAGAAAGTAAAATTCTGAGCGTGTGTGTGTGTAAAGAGAGCGCGCGTGCTAGACTCTAGAGCCAGTGAGCCTGAATTGGAATCTAGATTGACCACTGTCCAGTTGTGGTGAAAGTGTTGCAGTCCCTGGTGCCTCAGGTCTAGCTCTGTAAGAGGAAAAAGTTCTGTAAGGGGAAAAATAATACAATAGTAACCTCAGGAATTTGTTATGAGATCACAAGGGTTGATATAGGAAGACTGTTCAGAACAGTAATTCTCACAGGCCTTTATAGCATAAACAATGCATTTGCTGTGTTGCTTAGAAAGTAAGAGGAGCCGCAGCTTTCCCATGTCCCCTGTGCCCGGGGCCCCGTCATGTGAAACTGCTGTGCGCAGGGGCAGGGGCGGGGCAGGGGCTAGAGGAGGTCGAGTCACACCATGGAAAAGAAATGAGTTGTCTCCTGAGCTTAAAGGGATGACCAAGGACCCGGCATTCATGGCATTCTTTGCAGGTCATCCACCAACTGTTTACACATTTAACTCAACGTGTCTATGTAATGCTGGGCTAAACAAACGTCCACAAAAAATCTGAGTAAACAGCAATAGGTGTCAAAAGTTAAATACAAATTCATGAGACAGAAAATCCTACCTCCACGGCCTCCGACCAATTTTTGACATTTTCTAAGATGGGAAAAGACGACCATTATTGAATCTTAATGGTGGGACCCAGACCACCGGCAATACCAGTGTCCCTAGTGAAAAGGGAATCACTGTGGCCTGAAAGGCAAGACACCTGAGTGCTAGTTCCAGCCTTCTCCTAACTCCTGGGTAGGCACTGACATTTACTTTTCAAATATTTACCAAGTAATTATAGGGAACCAAAGGTAAGGAAATCAGACCCAGCTTCTGCCCTCATGCAGTATATGGTCAGCAGGCGGGAAGGACAGGCCCCAGCAACTCAACCGACAGAAGCAAACCTGCAAGTGGGACAAGCGGAACAGGTGAGCTTCCAACCCCAGGCAGGAGGGCGACTGAGGGAATCTCCTGAGTGCGGACAAGAGGGGGCACAGCGGAGTGGGGTAGGAGGGTAGGAAGCTCATGCAAAGGCCCTGTGGTAGGGGAAGTAAGAAGGAAGCCAGGGTGAACGGTGCCCACAGAGTGAACTAGAGACTAGAGAATGAGGCAGGGACAGTGAGCAGTCGACCTTTATCCCCAAGAGAAATGGCTGGGAGGAAAACCTTGATATGATAGGAAGAGAGGGAACAAAACTAAAAACAAAAGTGGGGCAGAGGTGTGTGACTAGATTAAAAATGAGAAGAGCATTCTCGCACCTGGCAGAGAAGGCCTGGGAGGAAAGCAGCCCTGGTGAGGAGGTTACCGCAGTCACCTGGTAAAGAGAAACGGCATGCCGAGCTGGAACGAGCTCAGATTCTAAGAGAGGTCAAGCCAGGGGATTATCCTGGGTCTCGGTGACCTCGCTGCTAATCTGAACAAGCTGGACAAAGTGGACTAGCTGACCCTTTAATCATACAAGATATGACAGATGACAATCTAGCAGAGGGCTCTGTGCCCCCCAAAACAAAGATGGGCTTTAAGAATGACCCTCAAATTCAAAGCTTACATAAGTCTCTCTGGGTGATAAAGCACTTGTCCTCCCATTATGTAACTGGTAAATCAGACTTCCCTCTGCCCAGAAACTAGTTTCTGTCATGTGAACCAGGACCTGGGGCTGTGGGGATGGGAGAAAGGAAATGACCTCAGCGAACA